TAATTGCAATGTTTTTACATTTACAATTTACTGATTGTAAGAAACATTAGGAACCCCTGCTCTTTCCATGACATAGACTGACCATGTGAATCCAGGTAAAGCTATGATCCCTTATTGATGTCACCTGTTAAATCCACTTCAATCAGTGTAGATGAAGGGGGAGGAGACAGGTTAAAGAAGGATTTTCAAGCCTTGAGACATGGATTGTGTATGTGTACCATTCAGAGGGCGAATGGGCAAGACAAAATATGTCCCCTTGAGCGGGGTATGGTAGTAAGTGCCAGGCGCACCGGTTTGAGTGTGTCAAGAACTGCAACGCTGCTGGGTTTTTCATGCTCAACAGTTTCCCGTGTGTATAAAGAAGGGTCCACCACCCAAAGAACATCCAGCTAACTTGACAACTGTGGGAAGCATTGGAGTCAACATCGGCCAGCATCCCTGTGGAACGCTTGACACCTTGTAGAGTCCATGCCCTGACAAATTGAGGCTGTTCTGAGGGCAAAAAGTGTTGCAACTCAATATTAGGAAGGTGTTTCTAATGTCTGGTACACTCAGTGTAAGCTTGTAATGATCCCATGATATTTGGTTGACATGTTGCCTTTCAATTCCTTTTGGAAATGAATGTGAAGCAGAGACAACACCGTATCATTTTGACATGGACAGACTAAACATTTTTGTTTTTAAACGGACCAAATTTAGTATTAAAGAACACAGTGTCATGTGTTTAAGTTCAACAACAGAAGCATCATATGACAAACAGCTTTACTTGGCAAAACAAATAAAGAATGGACCACCTTGCTGCAGGGTAATGCAGCAGCACACACAACAACCATTAGCAATTTCACTTGCCATCAAATATCCATTACATAGCAGATATTCTGTTGTGGGCACTGGGAATCAATATACCACTTTCAGTTTAGGAGGTTGAGTGTGCTTTATTAATGCACTGATTGCCTATTTTTTTTATGTTTGTAGAGTAATGGATCAATGGGCCGATGGCCTTGTCTTTGTTTATAACCTTGATGTAGACATGCGAGTAAATCAAAATCGAGCCTTTCCCAATGACCCAGAGTAAAACAATTAAGAAAAATTTAATTGTAACATGAGGAATAAAATAAAATACACAAGAATGGAGCTATATACAGGGAGTACCAGTACTAGATCAATGTGCAGAGAGCGGTACAAAGTATTTGAGGTAGATACTGTATCCACATGAAGGCAGGGTAAAGTGACTAGGCATCAGGATAGATAAGATTAAAATAAAGAACAGAGTAGCAGCAGCAAATGATGAGTTTAAAAGTGTGTGTATGTACTGTTTGTGTTGTGTCAGTGTGTGTGTATGTGTGTGTGTTTCAATGTAGTGTGTGTGAGTGTGTATAAGGTGTGTACATATAGTCTAGTGATTATACTGGGCTACTTATACTTACTGCACAGAGAACATTAAAGGAAAACCACTCAAAAACGGTATTTTGGTATTTATTTCATTAGTCCACTCTTGATACAGTCCCAAAATGTTTTGCATGTCAGCAGTCAAGTTTTCAAGATATTGGACTTAAGAGAAGCAAAGTGTCACATCATGATGATGATGCAAAATGCTAATGAAAAAAATACCAAAAGATAGATTGAGTCGATTTTTCCTTAAGAATGCCACTGTGTTGTAACTCATAATAGGACTGTGTTACAGAGGTCTAAATGGTCACTCACAACACTGTCATGTGTCAAAAAGCCTTCATCTGAAACATCAAACCATGATGAAACCAAAACCAACATCTTAATTTCAGCCAACCAAATAATACATATAAAATAGACTGAGGAATCACATTTTAAAGAGCACATTTTTTTGGTCAAAAGGTTTTGAAAGATCAATTTAGGATAGGATTAAAGCACAAATGCAAAGCAAAATAGCCAAATTACAGTTATTGATACATTGAACTAAACATATTCCGTCTTTCTTCACACATCAAAGTAAAAGTAACATCCAACTCACCAGCAGAAGATGAACATGATCCCAGATGACAGCCAGGTCCACCGATACATCCCAAGAGATCCGGGTGCAAAACAAAGACAAAGAGAGAATTAGGCCTATCTTGTATTCATTTAATAGTTTTAGAATTTAAAACAATAAGTAAAAGAGAAATTATGTACCTCAATAGTGTTGTTCCTGTTTAAGCCACAGATGATCAATTACAGATTACAGACAGATAAATCCTAGTTCCAGTTGATTAGCATGATATGTGCAGTGATACTACCAGGGAATCAAACTGTCCTCTCTTAACCACCCAGGGTTGTTGTTTCTTGTCAAATCCTGGAACATGGTGGCTATGCAGATTTACCCAAAGGGATTAGTTAGAAGAATTATCACAATTCACCATCTGGCCCGTAGATATCAAATGCATTAAAAAACAAGTGCATTAAAAGATACCCTGGCTGCTTACTCTTTGATGGCAAAGCGGTTGCTCTAGGTTAACATTCCCTGTGGTAGAAGAGCTAGGTCAGGTTTGCCTTCGATGAGGCAAATTCCAGTGGGATGAAAAGAGTATCCGCTAGTTCTCCTTACTGCTGACCAATGAGGAGGGCTAGTGTTAAAGGCAACAGTGGATTAAGAGGGAGAAAGAAGTAGTACTTGGAGCAGTGACTGTCACACTCCGTGTGCACGTAAATCCTCTTGATGCTAACTTGGGGCTGAGCCTTGAACACAGACAGCCTGGTTCAAAAGCCTCTACTTTTTAAGGCAGCAGCTCCACTGTCATTGTTTGACTGATGATTGAGATGACAGCAACTGCTCTTCATAACCTTTTCATGCAATAGCCTCGCTGTAATGTCATAAATGGATTCCATGACGCAGGATGACTACCGGGCGGCAGGTAGCTTAGTGGTTAAGAGCGTTGTGCCAGTAACCGAAAGGTTGCTGGTTCTAATCCCTGAACCGACATCTGTCGATGTGCCCTTGAGCAAGGCACTTAACCCTAATTCCTCATGTAAGTCGCTCTGGATAAGAGCATCTGCTAAATGACTAAAATGTAAAATGTGTACAGGTGCATGACAGTGGAGCTGATGGAATGACTAAAATGCCATGAATTTGAATCCTCCACATTATAATCTGTTTCATGCATGCATATGCCTTTAATGACTGACATTCAGTACATACCGCAATCAATTACACATCTTTGATTATATACTGTACATTTCATGAATATTTCAGTGTAAAAATACATATTTTGATTTATATAAAACACATACACGGCTACAATTTACATGTAAAACATCTTAATTGTAGTTCTATGAATGATAGCTGTTGTTGAACACTGCACCCCATGTCACATATCCTGGGGGAAGGTACTTTGAGCAAATATAGGCGTTTCAGATTCTTACTCACCTCAGAGACTGTGTACTACAAGTGACATGGGCACCAGGGGTAAGATGGGGAGAGACATTCCATGCGTTCAACTGTCTGCTTCTGTTTAGTTCAAGAACAAGTCGCCAAACTGGTCCTGCTATTACACCTGTTCCCTTTCGGTGATGGCAGATATCTCCCCCACAAACTGAAACCAAATCCAGTGGTTTACAGTTACAAAACACAAACAAAGGCGTGAAAGGTAGAGAGAAAAGCACATACGTGAGCCTTTTTCTTTCAAGGCACTGTTTGTTCTGCAAACAATACAGGTGTTACCTGAGGAGAGGATGGTGAACAAGGAAGGAGTGTGGTGTACTTCTCATGGATTGTATGGAAATTTAACAGAAATGAAATGAATGTTTTTAATGTCATTTCAATACTGTATAAGCTTCAGAAGGTGAATTGGACTCAATGTTATAGGATGACAAACTACTGGCTTGTTGAGAGATCTGTCCTTCAGGATCACCTCAATGTGTGTAACTTCTGTGTCATTTTACAAGAGAGGCAATACATTGCTGAAATTACAACGCTGATAACTGTCACTAACACAAATACAGGAAGGTGTGTATTGATTTGATCAGTATTTTCCCCTCAGTTATTAATATACATGAAGAGAAGAGACAAACTAAAGTACTCAGATAGTTATAAGAGCTCTAATCTATTTTGTGTATCTTCTGTTCTGGTCTGGGCTGTGTGTGTTGTTCACTAGGCCACCTACACAGCATGTGTGCGTTACAAACCATGTCCTGGGGTCCTCTGTTACGAGTCCTCTGTGGCCTGGTCTAATTAAGGCTATAAGCTGATACTCTATCACCACCTGTTTCTGTCTATATGTTTTCAGAAAGTACCAGTTCTCAGGCACAGAAAAGTGACGGACAACTCTCAACATTTAGTGAGATAAATTAGTGCTCTGAATTTAGCTGTTGAAGGAAATGCATTACTTGGTAACTACGTTTCCTATGCAATATTGTAATATGACCTCACCCCATTAACTCTAGCTACTGTATAAATTAGCAGAGTGAATCATTGTTTCAGTAACAGTGTCAAATACAAAGTGTGTTACTAATCAACATCACTACATATGTATTATGATATGTTTTATATTCTGAAGAGTAAACCGCTGATTTAATAGTCGTTTACAGACAAACAAATACAAAAGGTAACATTACCATTATATATGTTCCAAAACTGTAGCGTTGAGCACGAGAATGTCATATGACAACGGTAACTTTAGTTTTTGTCATTAGCGAATGTAATTTGATCCTTTTGAGTATCCGTAGTCCTGTGTTTACATGTGTAGTGAATCATGTTGGCTAGCTATGCTAGCCATAAGCAACACGTGACTCTTTTCGAACGAGTGAGTGACAAGTTTGTGCAAGCACATGCTCCGTTTAGTCAGCCTGTCTGCTGTCGTAGCCATGCTATCGAGGTTATAGCTAGTTAACGAGCTAACTTGATTTATTTCAACAGGTGGCAGGCGTTAGCTAAAGTTAGCTAGCACCTAAAGACTGAATCCCATGGCCTGATCACATGTGAGTAAGCTGTCCTTCCGCACAAATGCTATAATTATGTAGCTAGCGAACTGGTTTATCTCGTTTAGGTTGTCATGCTAGGACTTCAGTTCTTTAAATATTTTAGAGGGATTTGTCGGCTTCAAATAGTGCTTGTAGCTGAAAACATCAATGTGCGAACTGCACGAAGTCCCTCGCTGAATTTGACCAAAGCTCGTCAAAACAGTTGCTGCTACTTCTCTGTGTTACCTCAAGGTCTGGTAAACTTAAATGAAATGCAGCGGGTCACTTGGACTGATTATGCTGTCGAGCTCGAAACGAACAACATGGAACATGGCAACGACCACCTGCTGTCACCTGCACATGATGCATCAACTGATCCAGTTGCTGCAGAGGAGAGTCACTTGCATTGTAATGTGAAGGATATCATTGCCCCTGGTGAGAAATATATAGCCTACCATCTGTGATGCTTGTTTTCACTACATGTATAATCACTGAAATAGAAAACTCACAAATTATGATTAGAGAATTGTGTGAAAGTACTATTCTCATTGTCTGACATCAAAGGGAAAGTGCATCCCACAGTAATGTATTGGATGACATGCTGCACAAACAGATAGAACCCCCTTTGTTTCCATCCAAGTACAGTATGTTGTTATTATGTACTGTCTTAGTGGTGGCCAGTGTCATGGCCTAATATCAGAATTATAGTATCTTCACTCTCACAGTGCATCACAAGATGTCTGACCTTCTAGCATACTGTTTACATGCTTGTTGTTGTCAAAGGGTAATTCCATGGTAACAGAATTACACTCAGACTCAGATTTTTCACTTTAAAATGTATACCAAACAAAAACCATTGATTTCAATGTTTAACAAACCATAGAAATCTGTGCACAATGACCATATAACTCTATGCACAATCACTATTACACAGTAAATAAAAAATGTTTTACTGGAAAAAATGTTTGGTAACAGACTTAGGGTAAAATCTCCCTCAGTTTTCTTCTGGTACCAAACTTTGTATCTGCATTGTTCTTCCTGTAAATGTGTTTTTGTAAAAATTTCTGTGGAAATTGTACAAAATTGAACTTGTGCATAGAGTTATATGGTTAGTTATAACTTTGAAATCAATGGTTTTTGTTTGGTTTACATTTTTTAAGTGAAAGGTCTGTGTCTCAGCGTAATTTCATTACCTTGGAATTGCCCCAAAGCAGAACAGTGGATGGGGTGGAGTCACACACACAATCCGTGCAGTCAGACCATAAATTGTAGAATGATCCATTTTTGCTGTTACTCAACTACTTCCAAGGAATAGCTTATATTCACTAGCTACAAACATTCATTACATTCACACAGCATCCAGATACTTGGAGAGCCTTTTTCTTGAAAAGTATGTCTGAGGTATTTGAAGGATCCAGCTTAGCCTTTCACATGCTGTCATCATCTCCCCCTTGTTCCTCAGAACATGATATAGTGAAGAGGATCAAGAAGAAACCCAAAAAGCCACGTGGAAGGAAACACAAGTCTAAGTCATCAGAATGTTCTGACAATTTTATGTCAGAACTTCCATTCACAAGTACAGCAATATGGAAGGACCTTGGCTGTAAGTAAACCGTTTATGCCATATTATTTGTTTTGCAGTTGAATCCAGGCTAACTCAAATCAACATGTCCAGACTAAAATAACATAGTTAGTTGTAACATACCTTCATTGAGAGGATGTGTTCAATAGTTCCCATAGTGTGACCAGTTGATGGTATTTTCCATTTTAACTGGCCGGGCGAGTAGGAGAGCAGTAATTTGACTAGCGGCACCAACTCTGTAAGTCAATAATGACTGGTTATTTGTAGTTGCCAGTTGATGCAAGGATCTTCCTTGTACCGCAGCTGCCCTTGCATTCAAATTTCCTCCAGCTGCCTACTGGCGATGAATAATGCATTGTTGACTTGACTGGCAGTTGGTTTTACAGGAGGGCAGTCAAATCCAACTACAGAATAATGGAATCACACATTTGCCTCTTGTACAACACTAATATCGTTGTGTTACATTTCCCCCAGTCACCAAGCCAGAGGCCAAATTGAAAATTAAACGAAAGAGAGGTGCAAGTGGTCGGGTAGAAAGTGAGGAGGATGCAGATACAAAGAAAAAGAAGGAAACACAACGCCCAAACTACTTTGTTTCAATACCCATCACAAATCCCAAGGTACAATTTAGTGATATATTTTTATTGAGAAATGCATTTTTATTCTATTTTATTTGGGGATATTTCTCTATATAGTGTCTCCATATATCACTATATTTAGAATACATACTGCATGTGATCACAAAACAACTGCTACTTACTATTGCCCCCTATCTTTGATAAACACAGATATTAAACTGTTTTCTAAAATGTTGTTGTGCCGTCTCGACACTGACCGAAGCGCGTTTGTTAAAAAGCGTTTATCCTTGTATAACCTCCGTCGACTATTACATATCTTAGATGCTAAATTCAGCTTCATCTCAAGCTATAAAATGTATCTAACCGAATCAGCCCTATTGCCTCTCAAGACCCCGATGGAGGACTCCATCCCTACTTACGGAATCCCAATCGTTTCCCATTTTAAATATTTGGGAGTAGATATATTTCCTTCCTTGGATAAAACCATTGTCAGAAACTATAACAGAACGCTCAAATCAATTTAATCCGACCTCAGTATATGGAATAATATCCCAGTTACTTTAACCGGCAGAATATCTCTGTCAAAATGAATATATTGCCTCGGCTGAATTTCTGTAGTTCAATGCGTCGCATGGCTTCCCCTTCTGGCTATTGGGATTAAATTCTTAGTGTGGTTTCAAAATGTATATGTCAAGGTAGACGATCCCGGATAAACTTAACACATTGACAAAGGGGGGAAAGATGTAGGAGGACTATTCTTACCAAACTTTAAATTATATTTCCAGGCACTAGCATTTCGCCCCATCCTAAATTGATTTAAACATGATTCTTCTGCCCCCTGGCTGAGTATAGAGAGGAAATATGGTGTCTCCTATTACCCTGGAAGAGGTGGCGTTTACTGATACTGTGTATCCCTTAAACAATGTAAACTACGCTTTGGTCCTATTATTGCTTACACAATTTATATTTGTTCGTAATGTAAAAAAACGATGTAACTGGGAATCAAAACAGCATGCCCATACTCCAATATTTCACGATCTGGAGAGCGGCCTTTTGCATCCCCCCCATGGTCCAAATGTGGAATCCTTACCGATGTCATGGACAGTAATGGTTTGACAACATTCCAAGATTTGAAAGATACATACACATTACCAGGCAACTCCTTTTTTCTATATTTCCAATTTAGGTCAGCTATGCTGGAAACCCAACTACCGAACCATCCAATGATTAGATTTATATATAAATTATCTGGGCTCCCGAAAGGACTGATCTCTATAATATATAAACAACTTTTGGAAATCAGGTAGGCACATTCCTTCATATGATGTAGGAGTGCCCTGCAGTTAAATGCTCTCTGGTTATTATATTTAAATGCTGGAACTGAATGGCAAGAGGATGAATGGCGTGTTCTACTTGTGCAGATCAGTGAAGGTGTGGGGGTGGTGCAGGCGCTGGTGATGCAGAGAGACTCCAGACTCACGCGGGCTCTGGTGCCTGTGGGCAGTCTCCACATCACGCTGCTGGTGACCCACTTGGCCAGTCAAGAGGAAGTCAACTTGTGAGTGTCTGCAGCTGATCTCAACTATTTCAACCAGATAGCCACCCTGTTTATAGGGATAGTAGTAGAATAATTCTAATGTCTGTTTCTATGTCCTACACATTTTATTAACAAAACTGATAAAACGACACCTTTTGGAACGATGCAGACTGTGAGGAGACACACACACACACACACTCTACACACACGTATGTATGGTGGTATTATAAATGTTGTATTTTAGATATGTAGTGGTGTAATAATGTTATATGGAATTTTTAATTTTTGCCCTTAATTTGTTTGGACCCCAGGAAGAGCTAATGGGGATCCTTAATAAATGAAACAATTTGTAACGACAATATTGATTAAACTATAATTTGTCAATAGGTTAAAATAAATAAAATCTGAAAACATACAGTAAACAACAACGTCCTCTTTTTTTAACCTCTAAAACCACTGAATATATATAGGCCTAGTATCTCCCTATGATAAACAAATGGTTACAGATCTGACTGTGTACACATCCCTGGCAATTTATCTTTGCATCACTAAATACTGCAGGGATGAATGACGTATTAGCCTGAATGGCTAGTGTGTGAGCATGGTGTGGTGGGAAGAGAAAGAGGATGGAGAGAGGATGTAGAGGGGATTAATGACATGGGATTGATCTGGCTGTTGTGCTGTGCTGACTGCAGGGCGGCGTGTGCAGTGGCCCAGATGAAGGCAGAGCTGCAGGACCTGCTGCGGGGGCGGGAGCTCATCCTGCCCTTCCACGGCATCGGACACTTCAGGAATGAGGTGGCGTTCGTAGAGCTGGCCCAGGGAGAACACCTCGCCACGCTGGCCCAGATCACAGGTGGGTGCTAATGCTAGTCGGCTACTGTTCCCCCACCCACTCTCCTTTTTTTTTTCCATCCTCCTGCTTCTCTCTCGTGTGCGTAATCTTTGACGTCACTTACCGTGCCTTGCTAGCTATATGTTAGTCGTATATGGATTTGAGCTGGGCTGGGCTGCCAATTCAGGATACATCTGTTATGTATGAGGATTTCCAAGGGTCAGCCCTCAGCACAGTTTTGTTTACCCATTTGAAATGCTTTCTGTTCATAAAATAATATTTAATGTTTAGCTTTTTTCTCTCTTTAGCAAAATCTGATATATTGGTATTATTTGTTAACTTTTCACGTATTACTTACTGTTTCCAATTAAACTGTGTTTTTTAGATGGAGAAAGCTTCCCTAAATACAGACACTAATGAATTATGTTATCAGCAGCTGTCCTGCCCATTCCTGTACTTCCACTAACCGCTATACCCCCGCCCTCTTCTTTTCTCTCCTCTCCTCCTATTGATTATCTCTTTATTTTACACCATCCTGGGCTAAAGTTGCTCTCTCCCTCGCGGTCCTGCATTGCAAATAGATCTGCTGTTGTTTTTCCCATCACCCTCTCTCTCTCCCCGTCTCTGGTCATTCGCTCCAGGGGTTGTGAGGAAAACATTTGAGGAGAAAGGCCTCTCGTCCGGCGACGGCAAAGCGTTCAAGCCCCACCTTACCTTCATGAAACTGTCCAAAGCTCCTAAGCTACGCAGTCAGGTGAGCCTCATCACTCCTCATCACTCCTGCTGGAATGGCATGCATAGAGAACAACACAGACTCAGACAGACTGAAACAACAGGCTGAGTCATTCACAGCTAGGTGTACATTTGTATTCTGGCTCGTATTAATCTTGATTGACTTAAATCAACTGAAATGAATGTTAATGGCTGTCTGGAGTCTTCGATACAAGACCAAAGGCCTTACGATAATGTAATTGCTTATAATAATGTGTATTATCATGAAATAACAGTCTCTGCATGATCATTCAGTGACTTGGGAATGAAAATCAGTAGTTGTGGAGCGTATAAAGGATTATACCCTATAAAAATACAGTGATACAAAATGAGTAAAAGTTAGTCCTGTGATACTGGAGCTTTTAAATGGCTTTAGTCTACGTCACTGTCCCGTGGAAGGAAGCAGGCCCTTTGATAAAATTGTAAACAATGATGTTCACTTTGAGAGAATGTAGATTTGTAACAGCGGTCCACTCTGTGTGACATGTTTACCATCGTGGCTAAGTGACTGATGGTTATGGTTACCATCGTGGCTAAGTGACTGATGGTTATGGCAGCAGATAGATATTAATAGATGGTCTGGTCTGGCAGGAGGGATGAGGATTTGACCTGGGGGTTGGAGTGAAAAATGGGAGCTGCCAGCTTAATCTGTTTGTTGGTGGTGGATGACACATTTCCTGCGTGTTCCTCCTATGTGTGCACGTGTTACTGTGTGGGGTCAGGGTGGATGGGTGTGTTCAAGAACATCCATATCTGGTCAGACGTGACAGCGAGCACATCCCCATGTCTCTGTGTGTCTGCCTGTGTTGTCTCCCAGGGTGTGAAGAAGCTGGACCCTGAGCTGTACTCTGACTACGCTCAGCATCATTTTGGAGACGAGAGGGTGATCAGGCTGGACCTCTGCTCAATGTTGAAGAAAAAGATGCCAGATGGATACTACCACCAAGAGGCCTCCGTTACATTCGGTGAGTAGACACGGTGAGGCAGAAAAAAATTATTAGGACTGAAAATCTCATCTGCTCTCAGCATTATTGACATGGTTACACATAGTGTGGTGGAGTTGAAGAAAGGGAGCCAAGACCTTCAAAATAAAGATAAGACATGTATTTATGTTGGTGCCTCTGTCTTGCTGTTGACTCACTTGGCAAACTTCTCTCAACTGCCATTTCATAGATAAAAGTAATAACAATACAAATATAAATTCAGAATATACACTGAACAAAAATATAAATGCAACATGCAACAATTTCAAAGATTTTACTGAGTTACAGTTCATATAAGGAAATCAGACTATTTAAATAAATTCATTAGGCCCTTATCTATGGATTTCACATGACTGTGAATACAGATATGCATCCGTTGGTCACAGATACCTTAAAAAAAAAAAAGTAGGGGCGTGGATGAGAAAATAAGTCCGTAACATGCTCAATGGGTGACATGTCTGGTGAGTATGCAGGCCATGGAAGAACTGGGACATTTTCAGCTTCATGGAATTGTTTACAGAATTCATGGAATTGTTTTCATGCTGAAACATGAGGCGGTGGATGAATGGCACAACAATGGGCCTCAGGATCTCGTCACGGTATCGATAAAACACAATTGTGTTCGTTGTCCGTCGCTTATGCCTGCCCATACCATAACCCCCACCGCCACCATGGGGCACTCAGTTCACAACATTGACATCAGCAAACCGCTCTCCCACACGACGCCATCTGCCAGGTACAGTTGAAACTAGGATTCATCTGTGAAGAGCACACTTCTCCAGCGTGCCAGTGTCCATCGAAGGTGAGCAGTCAGTTACGACGCCGAACTGCAGTCAGGTCAAGACCCTGGTGAGGACGACGAGCACGCAGATGAGCTTCCCTGAGACGGTTTCTGACAGTTTGTGATAAAAATGTTTGCTTGTGCAAACCCACAGTTTCATCAGCTGGCCCGGTGGCTGGTCTCAGACGATCCCGCAGGTGAATAAGCCAGATATGGAGGTCCTGGGCTGGCATGTTTACACGTGGTCTGCGATTATGAGGCCGGTTAGATGTACTGCCAAATTCTCTAAAACGATGTTGGAGTCGGCTTATGGTAGAGAAATGAACATTCAATTCGTTGGCAACAGCTCTGGTGGATATTCCTGCAGTCAGCTTGCCAATTGCACGCTCCCTCAACTTGAGACATCTGTGGCATTCTGTTGTGCGAACAAAACTGCACATTTTAGAGTGGGCTTTTATTGTCCCCAGCACAAAGTGCACCTGTGTAATGATAATGCTGTTTTAATATGCTTCTTGATATGCCACACCTGTCAGGTGGATGGATTATCTCAGCATAGGAGAAATGCTCACTAACTGGGATGTAAACAAATTTTTGCACAACATTTGAGAGAAAATTGCTTTTTGTGGGATCTTTTATTTCAGCTCATGAAACATGGGACCAACACTTTACATGTTGCGTTTATATTTTTGTTCAGTAAACAGTGCATTCGGAAAGTATTCAGACCCCTTGACTTTTTACACATTTTGTTACGTTACAGCCTTATTCTAAAATTGATTAAATTGTTTTTTCCCCCTCAAATATACACACAATACCCCATAATGACAAAGCAAAAACAGGTTTTTAGAAAATGTTGCTAATTTATTAAGGATAAAGAACAGAAATACCTTATTTACATAAGTATTCAGACCCTTTGCTATGAGACAAAAAATTGAGCTCAGGTGCATCCTGTTTCCATTGATCATCCTTGAGATGTTTGTACAACTTGATTGGAGTCCACCTGTGGTAAATTCAATTGATTGGACATGATTTGGAAAGGCACACACCTGTCTATATAAGGTCCCACAGTTGACAGTGCATGTCAGAGCAAAAACCAAGCCATGAGGTCGAAGGAATTGTCCGTAGAGCTCCGAGACAGGATTGTGTCGAGGCACAGATCTGGGGAAGGGTACCAAAAAATGTCAGCAGCAATTAAGGTGTGGAAGAACACAGTGGCGTGCATCATTCTTAAATGAAATAAGTTTGGAACCACCAAGACTCTTCCTAGAGCTGGCCGCTTGGCCAAACTGAGCAATCGGGGGAGAAGGGCCTTGGTCAGGGATGTGACCAAGAACCCGACGGAGTTCCGGAGTTTCTCTGTGGAGATGGGAGAACCTTCCAGAAGGACAACAATCTCTGCAGCACTCCACCAATCAGGCCTTTATGTTAGAGTGGCCAGATGGAAGTCACTCCTCAGTAAAATGCACATGCCAGCCCGCTTGGAGTTTGCCAAAAGGCACCTAAAGGACTCTCGGACCATGAGAAACAAGATTCTCTGGTCTGATGAAACCAAGATTGAACTCTTTGGCCTGAATGCCAAGCGTCACATCTGAAGGAAACCTGGCACCATCCCTACGGTGAAGCATGGTGGTGGCAGCATCATGCTGTGGGGATGTTTTTCAGTGGCAGGGACTGGGAGACTAGTCAGGATTTAGGGAAGGATGAACGGAGCAAAGTACAGAGAGATCCTTGATGAAACCTGTTCCAGAGCGCTCAGGACCTCAGACTGGGGCAACGGTTCACCTTCCAACAGGACAACGACCCTAAGCACACAGCCAAGACAACGCAGGAGTAGCTTCGGGACAAGTCTCTGAATGTCCATGAGTGGCCCAGCCAGAGCCAGGACTTGAACCCGATCTAACATTTCTGGAGAGACCTGAAAATAGCTGTGCAGCATCGCTCCCCATCCAACCTGACAGAGCTTGAGAGGATCTGCAGATAAGAATGGGAGAAACTCCCCAAATACAGGTGTGACAAGCTTGTAGCGTCATACCCAAAAGACTCAAGGCTGTAATCGCTGCCAAAGGTGCTTCAACAAAGTACTGAGTAAAGGGTCTGAATACTTACGTAAATATGATATTACAGTTGTTTATTTTGAATACATTTGCAAAAAAATTCTAAAAGCAATTTTTGCTTTGTCATTATGGGGTATTGTGTGTAGGTTGATGAGGGGGGGGAAACTATTTTATCCATTTTAGAATAAGGCTGTAACTAGGCGTAGTGTTTATGAACTGATACGCAAAACGACGCCGGATTCAAAACTTTGAATTTTTCAATTGAAATTACTATATAAAATTCTTGCTACCAGTAGAATATTATTTGTATGGGGGATACAATCTTCCCAGCTCTGCATATTTTGCATAGATCATTTCTTTTGGTACTGTCCATTTGTAGCTTGTTTTTGGACACAGGTCCAGGAATGACTAAAGGATTGCAATATTTACCTGGAGCTAACCCTGCAGATAGCATTACTGGGTGATCTGAAAAGTCATAGTCAATCGATCAATAATATAATACTTTTAGCAAAAATGTTTATTTTCAATTTACAATTTGTAGAAACAATGAGAATAGAAAGGTTCAGAACTTTTGTAAAACATCACAGTACAGTTGAAAAATATATGGCAAATAGAAATCCAATATGGATGGTGTTAAGAGATGGATGGGTGGTGTTGAATGGAGTTGAAGGATGGGACTACTAACAACAACTAATAACAACAAGATAACTAATAATGTAAGCATACTGTGTCCATAATAAGTACAGTGGGGAAAAAATGTATTTAGTCAGCCACCAATTGTGCAAGTTCTCCCACTTAAAAAGATGAGAGAGGCCTGTAATTTTCATCATAGGTACACGTCAACTATGACAGACAAATTGAGAAATAAAAATCCAGAAAATCACATTGTAGGATTTTTAATGAATTTATTTGCAAATTATGGTGGAAAATAAGTATTTGGTCAATAACAAAAGTTTCTCAATACTTTGTTATATACCCTTTGTTGGAAATGACACAGGTCAAACGTTTTCTGTAAGTCTTCACAAGGTTTTCACACACTGTTGCTGTTTATTTTGGCCCATTCCTCCATGCAGATCTCCTCTAGAGCAGTGATGTTTTGGGGCTGTCGCTGGGCAACACGGACTTTCAACTCCCTCCAAAGATTTTCTATGGGGTTGAGATCTGGAGACTGGCTAGGCCACTCCAGGACCTTGAAATGCTTCTTACGAAGCCACTCCTTCGTTGCCCGGGCGGTGTGTTTGGGATCATTGTCATGCTGAAAGACTCAGCCACGTTTCATCTTCAATGCCCTTGCTGATGGAAGGAGGTTTTCACTCAAAATCTCACGATACATGGCCCCATTCATTCTTTCCTTTACACGGATCAGTCGTCCTGGTCCCTTTGCAGAAAAACAGCCCCAAAGCATGATGTTTCCACTCCCATGCTTCACAGTAGGTATGGTGTTCTTTGGATGCAACTCAGCATTCTATGTCCTCCAAACACGACGAGTTGAGTTTTTACCAAAAAGTTCTATTTTGGTTTCATCTGACCATATGACATTGTCCCAATCCTCTTCTAAATCATCCAAATGCACTCTAGCAAACTTCAGACGGGCCTGGACATGTACTGGCTTAAGCAGGGGGACACGTCTGGCACTGCAGGATTTTAGTCCCTGGCGGCGTAGTGTGTTACTGATGGTAGGCTTTGTTACTTTGGTCCCAGCTCTCTGCAGGTCATTCACTAGGTCCCCCCGTGTGGTTCTGGGATTTTCTTGTGATCATTTTGACCCTACGGGGTGAGATCTTGCGTGGAGCCCCAGATCGAGGGAGATTATCAGTGGTCTTGTATGTCTTCCATTTCCTAATAATTGCTCCCACAGTTGATTTCTTCAAACCAAGCTGCTTACCTATTGCAGATTCAGTCTTCCCAGCCTGGTGCAGGTCTACAATTTTGTTTCTGGTGTCCTTTGACAGCTCTTTGGTCTTGGCCATAGTGGAGTTTGGAGTGTGACTGTTTGAGGTTGTGGACAGGTGTCTTTTTATACTGATAACAAGTTCAAACAGGTGCCATTAATACAGGTAACGAGTGGAGGACAGAGGAGCCTCTTAAAGAAGAAGTTACAGGTCTGTGAGAGCCAGAGATCTTGCTTGTTTGTAGGTGACCAAATACT